ATAATATAATGGATGCAGATTAGCATATTGTCAAATGTTTCAAAAGTGTTATATTAAAGTTTTCAAATTTTATTTTTGCTTTTGTCTCACGCGTTTTCACTTTCCGTTGACCCACCATTATTAACTCTTTTTTATTTTCTTCCATTTTATTTTCTTTTTTCGTAATCATCAAAAAATTAGAAAACTTTTGGCACTGGTTTCAAGAAAATCAATTCTTAATGAAAAATTATCCATTAATAAAGAAATAAACTTATCCTCCAAAAATTAAAAAAATTTTGACTCCTATTTCATATATAATTTTTTAAGATTTGGTCAATTAATACCCGAAAAATTGGAAAAATTTTGTAACCGGTTCCCAAAAAAATCGGTAACAAAAAATTATACACTTTATAGCAAACCCCAGGAAATTCTACCTTTATTTCATATACAATTCTTTGAAATTCGATTAATTAACTCCCGAGAAATTTGAAAAATTTCGTAACCGGTTTCCACAAAAATCGGTAACAAAAAATTATCCATAAAAAAAATTTATCTTGATATCTCAAAATTTATGGAAATTGGAGCAGAAATCGGAAACCCCTTTATTATTAGCAATTTTTCCATAAACTCATCGTAGCCATCCTCAAAAAATTAGAAAATTTTGAAATCGGTTTTCAAAAAATCGGTTATAAAAAATTATACACATCTTCGCCATCCCCAAAAAATTAGAAAAATTTGGGTATTGTTTTTAAAAAAGTAACAAAAAATTATTTTTAAAAAAATTTAGCTAATATCTCAAAATTTGAGGAAATTAGAACAATCACGTACCTACATTTTTTTAAACAAAATTTGAAAACCTTTTTAGAAAAATTGGAAAAACTTCGTAACCGGTTTCAAGAAAATCAATTCATTAATAAAAAATTAAACTTATCCTCCAACAATTAAAAAAATTTTGATACACGACTCCTATTTCATATATAATTCTTTAAGATTTGGTCAATTAATTCCCGAAAAATTTCAAAAAATTTGTAACCGGTAACGAAAAATTATACACTTTATAGCAATCTCGGGGAAATTCTACCTTTATTTCATATGTAATTCTTTAAGATTCAATTATTTTTCGAGAAATTGGAAAAATTTTGTAACCGATTTCCAAAAAGATCGGTAACGAAAAATAATACACTTTATATCACTCCCCAGAAAATTCTACCTCTACTTCATATACAATTATTTGAAATTCGGTCAATTAGTTTCCGAAAAATTGGAAAATTTTCTGATACCGATTTCCCCAAAGATCGGTAACGAAAAATTATGCACTTTATGGCAGTCCCCGGAAAATTCTACCCCTACTTCATATAATTCTTTAAAATTCGGTCAATTAATTTCCGAAAAATTGGAAAAATTTTGTAACCGGCTTCCAAAAAGATCGGTAACGAAAAATTATACACTTTATAGCACTCCCCGAAAAATTCTACCCTTTTTTCATATATAATTCTTTTAAATTCGGTCAATTATTTCCCGAAAAATTTGAAAAAATTTTAGAACCGGTTTCCAGAAAATCGGTAACAAAAAATTGGCCGCGACATTTTCATCTCCGGGAAATTCTACCCCTGTTTCATATACTTTTGGTAAAAATTCGGTCCACTAACGAATGAGTAGTTCGCGTACATACAGACAGACAGACAGACAGACGTGACTTATATATATAGATTAAAAAAATTAGTTTCTAAAAGGTTGTTAACAAAAAACTATACACTTTATGGCATTCCCCGGGAAATTCTACCCCTGTTTCATTATATAATTCTTTTAAATTTAGTCAATTATTTCCCGAAAAATTAGAAGAATTAGAAAAATCGGTTTCCAGAAAATCGGTAGCAAAAAAATGGCCACGACATTTTCATCCCCGGGAAATTCTACCCCTGTTTCATATACTTTTGGTAAAAATTCGGTCCACTAACAAATGAGTAGTTCGCGTACATACAGACAGACAGACAGACAGACAGACAGACGGACGGTACTTATATATATAGATATATATATATATATAACATTAACATAATATTTTTTAAATCATGTTGCAATAATTAAATTATTTATATTAAACCAATTAATAATTTTTTAAATAAGTAATTTACCTAACAATGAGACTAAATATTCTTTATCCACTAATTATTAATTTTCAAATAAGTAATAATTCAATTTTTACAAACTATTAGTTATTTTAATAATAAAGAATTTATTTTTACTATACAAATTTTTACGTAATTAGAAATTTTTCTCTGACAAATTACCATTTTTTCTTTGTAATGCGTAATTCACTTTTACCTCACTATTATTAATTTTTACGTAATTAGTAATTTTTTGTGACTAATTACTAATTTGCTAATTCAATAAAACTTTAAGTAAATATGTATGTAGCAGATGTAGCTATTCCTAAAGAATATAGTAAAGGATAATTATTCTAAAATTATAATTTTAATATTAATATCAGGTAAAAATAGTGCTCGTCGATATTTCGCACGAAACACAAGAATGTAAATTTAAAAAAAAATTAACGAAACAGCGAAGCGAAGACTTCCTGAAGACTACGATTTGAAAAATTCCCGAACAAAATGACAGCGATTGATAAGTCGAAAGAAATAATCGAACATTATCTCGCAAAGAAGCGACTACGACTTTTCTCGATGACGGTAATGTCGCGCCGTTCGAGAGACGAGACTTCGAGCTCGCGCTCTCGTCTCTCGCGAGTCTCGCGCAGTCACTGCGGTCAGCGGTCAGCGGTGTCGCTCCCGGTGGTAAAAATAAACGCACAGGTGAGCTTGGAAATTGGAAAACGAAGTCCGCGCCGTCCGCGGTCCGCTAGTTCCGCTAATTCCTAGAAGTCGCGTTGCTCCCTTGCGCCGTAAACGAGCAAACGAGCTGGCATAGCGGAGATATATTAAGACGCGTAGAGTTAGAGTGGTGCGTCGCGCGCGCGACGAGGGGGATGAAGCGACGCTGAAACAAACCCGTCCGTTGCTCCGTTTTTACCGGGAATGGATCGCGATTGAGGACTAAATGCCAGTACAAACAATGCCGTACGTTGGGCGGCGGTGCGTTTGCTCGTAGAGCCGGTCTCCCCGAGGTCCTCTCTACCGTACTTCCCCCCTTCCGCGGCGATCGGCGGGATCCAGGAGTGACGATGCCCACCGTAGCGAACTCGTCGCTCACCTACGAGATCCTCATGTACCTGAACTCCTTTTACTTCGGCATGTTCGCCGTGTGCGAGCTGTGCATGGGGCTGTTCAAGGCCGTGAACCTGCCGTCGCCGGGCATGAGCAAGACCCTGATGGATTTCGCGCTACTGTTCTTCTTGATAATCACGGAGAGCGGCAGGATTTACCTGGGGAGAAAGGGAAATCTGACCGAGCGTGGACTGCCGATCCTCATCGGGATCGTCCTGACGGTACCCAGCTCGCTGGCGACCCTCTACTTCTTACTCTGGCAGCACTACGTACTCAGGTTGGAGGTGATCCTCTGCAGCATACAGCTGATCCTGCTGGTGTCCGAGATGGTCATTGCGATCATGTGCCTTATAACCATCTACCGAGCGCCAGCCCCAGGGAAATAAATCCAGCTCTGTTGCAGCTCTCCTAATATTCTAGTCGCACGATGACTCCACGTTCTGCACTTGTCACGCTTAATAATCCATTCCGAGTGTCGTCGATTCGTCAAGGCCGATATCAAAGTGCTTACCGTATTATTTTGTCACGCAATAAGACTTTCCCTGTGTACGATTTTTATTATTATATCTGTATGTGTAAGAAATAATCCTACGTGAGTGTATCACGTTATTTTCCCTGAAGCTTGATATAAATTCAATTCTGCGTAATAATTTCATCACAAATATTCTTTAGTAAAAGAATAAAAACTGGCCATCAAAAAGATTTTTATGCTACGCGATTTCTCTCTGTAATCACAAGATCATAAATACTGCCATTTATAAATATTCTCATCTTTAAGCGGTAATTTGTAAGTCGTACCAAAAAAAGGAACTATATGTAATACTATATATTATATATTTCTATATTGGATATAATCGTCAGTTGTAAGAAACTTGCACGTATGTTTGTTGTGTATACGCATTTATATCAAAATAAATATTTTTCAAATAAATAATACAATATTTACGCCGTAATATATGATGTGGCGTAACACACACTCACGCACACATACATTTTCTTGTAATGGTATAATGCCGACGTTTTTCAGATCACATATATCTTCAAGTACTTCCCAAATAAATACACGCGATATACATTGACTATAAAACTTATAACAAATATTTCACAAAGTCCATACTATCTCGAAAGCTATTAAAATTATCGAAGATGCATTCGCGATGTATAATATACGGAAAGATTATGAGATTATTAATTACAAATAAAGGATTAAAATTTAACATCCGCAATTACAGTCAATATCTAATTACTACGACAGAATTCTACCCTAATCTATGGCAATTACATTAAACAGTCGATAGAATTCTACTTCATGACAATTAAAATTGCATTTCTGCAATTTGTATCTAAACGATACAACTCTCAATGTTTTATACTGTTTGCCGCGGCTCTACGTCTTCTGATCGCGCGTAATCGATTGTTGCAGTAAATTTGTAAAAATACCGAGCCGAATACCAATAATATACCGAATACTCCAACAATGGTGAACTCGTGATGATAGGTCAAGCATGATAGTAGTATTGCCAAACCCTGTAACAGACATTATTTAAAAATTCGGGGTTATATTCTTTGGATTTAACACTTTTCCTTACAAATTGATATCAAATGATCATATACCTGACGAATGGTCATCATAATGACAAATGTGATGGATCCAAATTTCGAAATAGTGTAAAAAATATACAACTGGCCGCTTGCCGAACAAATTGAAATCAGCAAGCAATCGACTATAAACCTGGGGTACTGTACAATAAAAGTCGTTAGTCACTTTCGTGCAAGCAATATTATAAGAAACTAATTGCATATCGCAAATTAATTACCGTCGTCATGAAAGAAAATATCAGTGGAAAGCTCGATTGTTGAAACAGAGACATCGCGGTTAACAAACAGGAGAACATATTGACCGCACACATCATTTGTACGCTAGTCACACCATAGTCTGTAAAAAGTGCATTCTGCCAGGTACTTGTGAAACTATCTAATAATAAGTAACCTCCCAGTAAAATAACACCGGAGAGTGTTGTAGCCCCATCTGAAAGTATTTGATAGATCTATCGTAAGTTGATTGCAACTAAAATTTATTATAGATTTAACAAAATATATACCGTTTTTATGATCAGAACTGTCCAACATAAAGAGCGTCATTCCGATAGAAATGAGAATCGCAGTAACATACTCGTAATATTCATATGTTGTATGCGAAATTATTTTTCCCATTAACATAACTGGGATAATTTTAGAAGCTTTAGCTAGAACCTAAAAAAAATGATTAAACGCATATAACAAAACATTCATACAAATACTCATATCTTGGCACATAAGAAGTTATGACTAGAGAAATCAATGAATCGTCAAAAGGTATATACAATCGTAATTTGTTTACCTGTGATGGAAAACTGACATACTTCAAAGCTTCGTATTGACACCAACTGCTCATAATATTTGACAAGGAGCAAAACGCATACTTGTACAATGGCGTCTTATGTTGCGGCTGACGTTGAATAAGTAAATATAATCCCGATATCAGGAAAGCAAGAATGCGATTCACAAATACCAGGAATTGCGAATCTTGAAACCGTGCTTTATTGCCAGACGCATCTTCGTACTCCTATATAAATAAATTTTTGCTTAATTAGGAAATTACGTTACATGAATAACAATAAAATATCACAAAGTAGTCACACTAAAATAATCCAAAATAATATCCACTTCTAATAATATTTAAAAAAACAAATATTGTTCTTTTTTATAGATATTTCTCTCCTATCGATAAAATTTGACTAATACCTGTGTCATTATCTTTTCCTGCAAGTAGCCCCATGTTAGATAACTAAATTGCAGCCCAAAGAAACAATACAGCAAGAGCAGGGCGTCTTGAGTAAAAGTGCGCTGGACATGAGTGGAAGCATTAGAAGCATAAACCGGTGAGTCCAAAAGGCCTGTCTCGCAGTGTCCGACGAAGCACGAATGCACCAGTCTAGGAATACAGCCTTTCCCTGCATAAATATTCTATTTAATTACCACAGTATATATCATAAGATATTATATTAAATCTTTCTAAATTGATACTTACCGCTTCTCTGTATGTACTTTGTATATCGTACATATTTATATATAAGGCAACCCGGCAACAGCACAGTGGCATATCCCAATAAATTCAAACACAATCGAATAACCCAATTGTATGTAGATGTTTTGAAGATTTCTTCTCCATTATTTGTGAACAATTTTATGACCTCGCTGGTTCCAAATATGACGCTGACTGAAAGCAGTAGCAGCAGGCTGCCAAACGTACTCTCTTTAACTACATGGTAATTAAACATGAAAATTAAGTATATAATTATAAAAATAAAGTATCAAAGATAAGAGAGGTGGTGTGACGATATACATTGAACACTAGCGTGTCTAATCGCTCTGTCCACGTCAGCTGTGAAAACGGAACTGACGCTGCCGTTGCATTTGCGCTTTCGACAAAGTCAAGATTAAGATGTACCATATCACGATGTCACCCACAAAGTTTCCCATACTCCTCGCAAGTGAGAAACTCCGGCGATGATACCCAATTATCCCATAACCTTCGTCACGAACGTTCCCTCGCCTAGCTCACGTGTGCTCGGGCCTAGAGAAGTTTCCATTCGCTGTGCATTATTATACACTGCAAATAATTGTCATTAGAGATGTAATTACTCTTATCTTATCTTCCTACTCCAATTTTACCTTGCCACAAGCATGGTGTTTCTAATCTTCGTCATAGGAGAAACAGAAACAATACATATAGAACATGTATACATACTTGCGACACGTATCGCAGGAAGAGGTCAGGATCGTATCGAGTTTCTAGGGTGCCAGAGGCCTACGGCCTACCCTGTGTCCTAAATAAAAAAGGATTCGCTTCATTCTCTAAACCTGCCAATCTTCGTTAGTCAGACTCAATGCTTTTTTTATTTTGCTTGTGTAACATCACTAACATCGCTATCTAATCGGAATATCATGCAAATTTTAAAACAATAAATATAATACAAAAATATGAAGACATTTTTGGCATCGAAGCGTGATCTCCAAACAATGTAGAAAGTTTAAGCCAAAATAAACGAGAGGTGTCAAATTCAAAAATAAAAATAGTTTAATAACTCATTAATAAATTAAATAGTTAAAACAAAAGACACATAGTACAAAAAAATAAAAAAATAAGAACGCAGAGATAAACGTACGTCGATGATAAAGAATCGTTGTGAGTGAAAAACACAAATCAACAGCTGTAGTCAAATTGGTCTCCAAATTTCTTCTCGACATTTGGGGACTCATATATCAGTCATATCTCAATAATTGGAATTATATTTATTCAGTATAAGATGATTCTCTCGAAAAAAGATACAACAGCGCGACTGATTTCATAATTATTCAAATGGAATATTATATCATTTGAATAGTTACAAAATAATAGAGTCTGATGCTCGATTATTTCTGCAGTCGATCGTATTCTGCTAGCAGATTCTGTTATATTTCTGCTAAGTAATATTCTACAAAATTTGTAGCACACTTTGCAAATTTTGTTTTTGATACAGGAACAGCAATGAAAATCGAACAGATTTGCTAAGCTTTTGAGTATATGAAAAAACAGATTTACAGATTTAAATGTTAATGTTTCGTAACGCAATTTATTCGAACGATTAAATTATCATTATTTATAGTTATATTTGTTCCTTGTAACGAAACTTTCTTCATCCTCTTTTTTTTATATCGCTCAATTATATAATGTACTTATTATTTCATTTCAAGAGTAGAAAACATATAACATGACGCAGTTACAAGGAACAAATTACTCTTGTCTCATCAGCTTATACAGATTTAGTATCAATCGTTCTAAAGGCAAGTGTCCACGATGATATTAGAACTTGGTCCAAGTTCTCGGACCGAGAGAAATTAAAATTACTGAAACGTGGATCGTGGACACATCAATTTTGCATCCAAGTTCAGTGTGTCCACGATCCAAGTTTTAGTAACTTTTCCTCGGTCCGAGAACTTGGACCAAGTTCTAGCATCGTGGACCTCACGAAGCGCCAGTATACAAGTACAGTCCTGTCGGCACGGCGCGCCGTGTGCGCATGCGCGATCCTGATTAGTACAGGCCTCGAGTGTGATTTAATTTGATCCGGCATTAGAAAATGCAAGACTCGCTCGTAACAACTGCGGACGCCTATATAATACTCTATACTCGCGAAGGACAGGCTCGGACCGCGAGCGAAAGACGCCTCGTCGCGGTCGTTTCGATCGGCGTTGGCGAGCAGCGGCCTTGAGAGCTGAGCGCATTCGGACGCTCTTCGCGTACATACATACAGCGCGCATCGCGCTTGCGTGGCACGAGCCGAGGAGTATCGCAGGCATGTGTGACAATATGTGTACACACGGTATATAGGTATATGGGTATACGGCCGACTAACCCGGAGCCGTCCTAAAAAAGCACGCGAGGCAATCTGGCTCGTGCGATTCGCGGTGCAAGGACACGCACGCGCGTCACGTGCAATCTAACCCCCTGACCGCCCTGCTCCGTTTCCCTCTCACCCCCGTCCCTGATGCGCGCCACGTTAACTCCAGGGGTTGCCCTCCCCCCCCCCGCGGCCCCGCGCGAGGAGAAATTCATATTATTTACGAGGATGTCCCACGATCGATTTAAAATCGATCTTTCATCATCAAATTTCGTTAATGCGTTTTCTTCAACGCGAAAACATTAAAGACGGTATTCATAGTCAGATGCTATATTTAAGATCATCTTTTAAATTCATCTTCAGACACTGTACGATTCGCTTCATTGGCTACGGAGTATCTGCATGCAGATTAACTTATGACGATCTTATATACAAGATCTGACTATGAACATCGGCCTATATGTCTTGATATAATATTAAACGTTGTAATTTCACCCAAAGTTTGTCTAAGATTAGATAAGGGGCGAGGATTTGTTGCATGCGTTTATTTAGAATTTACAGCACGGTATAAACGTGTCAAGCTCGTACGCCAGTTTTTCTGGATCTTTGAATTTTCCTTTCCTCATTTTAAAATCCTCAGCACGAGTTTATGTACAAATTTCTCAGAGCTCAATTGAATTTATCCGGTTGTTTAATATTATACAAATTGAAAGTACACATCCACGATTTGGACCTAAACTTTCGCGAATCTTTAAAACGCGCGCAAGCGAACGTTTCTTCATTTTTTAATAGGAATCCTTTCGCTAGTTTAATTCTTCGGTGCAATCGATTGCGTCGGCGCTTCGATGGAATCGAAAATCCGAGAGTGTTTAAACCGGTTGACCATAGTTATTACATTACGTGAATGATAAACAGAGAGAAAGAGCAAGAGGGACTCGTTCGTTTCCCCTCTCGTGTTTAGCGGATGCTGGATAGGTGACGCAATCGAGGAAAAATTCCACGATCATTAACGCAATCGCGCGGAAGATCCGAATAACTTTTCGTTATTAACCGCCGATCCGGGAACTAAGGGCCCCCGCACAATGAAAAATATAAGGAACAAGGAGAACAAATATTAGCGATTAGGACTAAGGAATCAGGAATATAAGCTGGTGTAGCACTCTGTTTTTCATTGTGCATCCAGTTTTATTTCTGATTCCTTAGTTCTAATAGCTAATATCTGTTCCTTGTTCCTTATATTTTTCATTGTGCGGGGGCCTTAATAATGCTCAGTCGACTGGGACATTTCGTTTACGAAAAGCGTTTCTTTCCCCTCGAATAGGAAACATCTTCTCCCTCTCTCTCCTCGTTCGAAATGCATTAACGACCGGTCGTTATCGGCGTTATCAGGCCCGTTAAGTATCGCGAGCGTTACTTTATTGAACGGAGAATTAATGGCCCAATGATGATACAGAAAATTAATGGATAACGCACTCGGAGGTCGCGCTCCGAGTCGGCATCACCCAAGCAGAACGTGCCGAATGCCAAGAAGAAGTAAAGAGTCGTTTACTTCCGCTTTACAAAGTTACGACCGGATGAAGAATCGATCGCCCAAAGCGAATTGTCGCTCTGACCTCTTTAGATTCCAGCGTTTTTCTCTATCAGTCATCGATATTGTATACATCTCATATATTGTACATATATCTGATATCCCAAGCGAGATTTATTACAAACAAGATGGTTATAAGGGAGATGATATAAGAGCATTGATAAGAATGAGATGTGGAAATATGGAAGAGGGGAATAAATATTGTTTAGAGAGAAGGAAAAACGTTATGTGTCTGCGGACAAGGAAAAAATTGTATTAGCCATTACGTGGAAAAGTGTTATAGGACTAAGGATTGGTTTAAGGAGTTAGATAGAAATAAAAGAGAAATATTGAAAAGAGTATGGAACGATGAATTGGATAATGTAAAACAAAATATGTTGAGGAAATTGTGGTGAGAGAAAGACTATATTAGAACAAAGAAGAATAGGTAGTAATAAGCATAAAAATTGTAGGCGGTATGGATGATATAAGAGTGTATTAAGGAAAAATTACAAACTAAGTTCACTTCTTGGCGATGTAATCTGAAGATAAGATGGTTTTCCATCAAGTTGAACAACAACATGAAGCGAGGTTTATTATAAACAAGTTGGACAACCATCTTGTTTATAATAAACCTCGCTTCATCGAATACTTCGCATACTTTGATAATATAATAATAATAATAATAATAATAATCAAAGTATTATTATCAAAGATATTATTATCAAAGTGTACGAAATATTCGATGAAACGAAGTTTATTACAAACAAAGTGGTTTTCCTTGTCGAAGTATTTTGCCTAAACTCGCTTGAACGTCCCTCCGCATCTCTTTGCGATTAATACCTTAGATTATCTTGACATCATATTTTACTAGTCTTTTCATTAGCATTACTGTCCGGATTCATCGAAGTTTAATCTCCTTTGCGGTTGCGGCCTAAAAGTTATTCATGCCTTGACATTTCGTTATTAAGGAATGATCTCTTCTCGACCCAGTCGACGAGAGGAGTATCGTGTTTATTACCGAACGCCTCGCATTACAAGCGAACCAAAGCGAACATTGAGTTATCGCTTGTCCAATTCATCCGTTTGCCGAAGAATTCCTTTTTCTCTTTCTCTTCCTCCCTCCCTCCCTCCCTCTCTCTCTCTCTCTCTCTCTCTCTCTCTCCCTCTCTCTCTCTCTTTCTCTTTCTCTTTTTCAGGCACGCGTAACACACGGCCGCGACATTATGTATATATGAACTGAAGGCCCGATCTCGCCGTTCCACTTTTTTCCCATGTCGCGAGGAAACCTTGAAAACGGTACACCTATTCCATCTCTGCCCTACTTCGGTTTAATACGTGGATTACGTCTCAGTTTTCTGAACCGTCCTGGATCATCCCGGCGACTATCCGGGATGCAGCCAGCATCGTGCGCAAGCGTTCGCGCCGACTCGTTATTGTATGTACGTCGACAATGAGCGTAAAATGTCACAACATTCTTCGGCATCAATGCGTATGAGCGCTTTTTGCGTCAACACCTAACGCCCAGGTGCTATACACGTATCGTGACTAATCGTCGTGAGGAAAAATAACTAATAATGACCAGTAACCGATACTTAGCACCGCGACGTGCGTTGCAGTGTACAAAATTGAAGGAGCACTTAAAACACGATTTTACATAAATTTTCCTGGCAACGAGCGATGAATAGATTAAAATGCACCGGGCCTTTTGTTCCAAAAAAACACGGTGCGGAGCGAATGAATTAGATATAATGACTCACAAAAATCTTGGACGCGCAAGCAACACAATATTTAACAAAAATAAGTTAGGTACTTTACAATATTGTCCGATTTATAATACTCGATTTTTAATTTCGACATCACAGATCTTATTGTCAGACCCAAGCATGCCATGAAGATTTTGTATCAGGTGCAACGATATTCTTGATACAGAGATGGAATATAATCTAAAAATTTTTAATAATAAGTGAAACACGACCGTTATGATATACAATCAATTAGAGAGACAAACCGCCATTTACGGTCCGGACCGGATTGTTAGTATAAGCCTAACAGTAATATTGTGTGAATTTTGTACACTTTTCTCAAATTCAATAAACTGCAGCTTCTAAATTGAATAGCAATCGTAATCTCGATAAATTAACAATTTTGATCTTGAGATCTTAACGACTCAGATGAAGCGTGAACTGCGAAAGTGACTGTCACTATTTTACTAACGAGGTTGACGCGGAAGGCTTCAGAGAGTTACTTTTATAACTCGATTCTCTCGAGCGCACAAGATTGTAAAGATTGTTTAACAAAGCGTGATCGAAAGTCCTCGCGCAATGAGAAAATTTATGCTTTAATAAGTGCTTTTATCGTTAAACTGACTTTAGGAATGTTTGTCATTTTACCTAACGCAGCTAGCTTTTAATCAACTCAAATTTATTAAATTAAAATTATGACGTTTTGACCATGAATTTCGGTCCTTTTCAAGTGTGTATAAGAGTCATGTAATCACAGTAATATAGTGGACTCACAAAATTCTTAATCAATCTGACATTGTGGCCATACTACGCCATAAGTTTAAAAGCTAAATTGTAAAAAGATGAATCAGAGTGTAAGAATCAAAGTAAATGCACAAAACACGTGAGCCATTTAATTTTATACTTATTTTTATATTTATTATTATACCGGTAAAGCAGTCATTGTTTGTGTTTTATCTTGCAACTTTGACAGCTATTTATCGCCAAGTACCTTTGTTCCAATTGTTACCCGTCGATCATATTAATGGCGCGTTAGTACGTCGCATTAGTGATTGGCACTCGAGAATTTTTAAGTTTTATCCAATAAATGTAACGTCCGCTCACGCAAAATGTATCTCATCAGACGTTTAATTTCATGTTCAATAGATAAAATAACAAAAACGTTGTCAAACGACATTACATATGGTTGTGCGATGCAGATCTTGAGAAGACGCATCTGGCGTGAACGCGCGACGAACATTTATGGCGTTTAATATCCTCCGATCGACTTTCGAACGAAGACAACGAGCGGGCAATATACGCGAGATGCTCTTTGTGTGAAAGAACTTTGCTCCCGATACCGCGAACGTGCATAATCATCATCTCGCCGAGGTATATCTGCGGCGATACATTTATAGACCCCCAAGGATAAGGAATCCGTGAGAGCGCTATCGCGCGATCCGTTGCCGCTGGTCGCGTCGCGCATGAAACGCAACGAGCCGCCGCGCGCTATCGCGCTTTAAAAAAGGCGCAAAGGTCGCCGAAGATTGCTCGTCTCGCGCGCGCGGGAAGCACAGCGCAAAATTCGCGACGCACCGTGCACGCTCCCAACATCCAACGGAGAGAAGTGCGTCGCGGATGTGCGATCGGAGAGTACGCCCGAGATATCGCTTCAATCGCGGTCTATACGAAAATATAACATCCAAAGTTTTGTTTTCGCTTCAAAATTGACGTACTATAATTCGGAGTGCGAGCGAGTGCACGTATGTAACGTGCGCGCGCGCGTGAAAGTGAGCGAAAATCGCGGGGGCAATTCCGCCGGTCGTCCGATAATAATAATTAAAAAGCGGCCGAACGCGGCAAACGTCACTCCGCGCGGTGGCGACGGCTGCGCCGTAAATTCGATCTGAAAAGCGCGCGTCGCAAACGGCGCGCAGCCTGCGCAGGACGACGCAACGCGCCAGAGAGAGAGCGGGTTATTACGTCCGTTATATCCCCCGCGACAGGGCTTACGTAACTGTGTAGCGGCGCGCACCATCCGCCGCGGTTCCGTGGGACTCCGAACCGAAGGGTCCCGGCGTCCCGGAAGCATCCGTCCGATCAGTCGGTCGGTCGGTCGGTCGGTCGAACTTTTCCGAGGGGCGGCGAGAGGGGGTGGACGGCGGTGCCCGCGGCTGCATTCGGCTCGCTCCGCCACTGCTGCCGAACGGAGCCCGCGCTGAGGACGAAGGTGGGAGATAGAGAGAGAGAGAGAGAGACGAATAGAGAAATTGCGCGCGCACGAGAGGGAGAGAGACGGAGGCGGAGTAGCGGTAGGCGGTAGGTCAACCGCGGGCTAGACGGAGACGCGAAGAGACCCAGAGAGGAGGTGTACGTGTGCGAGGGCACACCGAGTTGCGCGAGGATCAACCAGCTGGTTGGCAAGGGAGCCGCGAGCAGTCGCCAGTGAGACGCGGCACCCCGCGAGCGCGTGTGTCATTCGTTCGCTCGCTCGCACGTTCGTTCGTTCGTCCGTACGTGCGCGCTCGTGTACATCTCCGTGGCGCGGGGGCCTTCTTCTGACGCGTGTGCCCGCCGCCACTGTCACCTCCTTCTCCTTTTTCCTCCCTCTTTTCCTGGTTCGTTCGTTCGTGCGTGCGTGCGTCTGAGAACGTCGCGCCTGGCACCTCATTCTCGGACACGACACTTGCCCCCGCGAAGCGAGCATCGTCTGCTCTCCGCCTCCTCCAGCGCATCGCTCCACTATCGCTCGTCCCGCTCGCGCGCGCCCGTCCACACCGTTTTTTCTCTTTCTCTCTCTCTCTCTCTCTCTCTTTCTTCCCTTCCCCTCGCCGCGCGGGATCTCCCCTCCTCCAATCAGGAGGCAAGAAGAGCGAGGGAGAGAGAGGGTGCGCGTCCCCCGCGAGGAGCGACATCCATCCGCTTTGACTGTGTGTGCCGCGTGCCGCTGGTGTGCGCTGTGCGCCGTCTGTTCTCTCCCCGTAATCTCCACGGCCGTGTGCGTCGTGCCCGCGCGCACACACGCGTAGTGTGCGTGCGTGCGTGTGTGTGTGGTGTGCGCGCGCGCGCGCGCGTGTAGGTCGAGTGTGTGTGGGTTACGTGCGCGCAAACGAGCGAACCAAGATGGCCGCCGATTCAGGAATGGAGACGTGTCCCTCCCCGGAGATTGCGGACTCCAGAAAGCGGCCGCTCGACTGCGACGCGGAGAACGGCGCGACCAAGAGGTCGCACTACGGATCAGGTATTTCCGATCGGTCGTCATCGACGCCGCGCGTCAACATCGCCGCCGGCGATTTCGCTCGCTCGCTCGCTCGCTCTCGACGTGTCGTCGTCGTCATCGGAGCCTGTTGTCTCCTCTCACACATACTCGCGCACCGTTCGCGTAACCGACTACATGTAACGTCCCTTTTCTTCCCTCGGTCTCTCTGTCTCTCCCTCCCCCTCTCTCTTTATTTCTTTCTCTTTCTCTTTACTCGCCTTTTGCACGCGCCTTTGACAATCCCGTCTTTACCGCTCTGTTGACACGACGGATCCGTTCCCTTTCGTTTCCCACTTCGCAGGGGCTCCCGTCGGCAGATCGGTTTCTCGTACATGTATCACGAACACGGTGCACAGCGCCTCGCCCCGCCCCGCCCCGCGCATCCTTGCTCGTGCCACGTCTCCTTCCGCCTGCCTCGTCGCCCCGTTTTTCTTTTTCCTCTCTCTCTCTCTTCCTCTTTATCCTCACTTTATCGGTGTATTCCATCTTCTCCGATCTACGGAGTCGCGCGCGTGGGACACGTCCAAGTTCGACGGCGAGCCGCCGGATCAGCGGGAAACACGGTGTTTTGAATTTTGACGTTCCATCCGCGCGACATCCTCCACACTTCCTTCGTCCCTCTCTCTCTCGCTCTCGCTCTCGCTCTCCCTCGGCTACGTGTGGGCGGTCGTGCCTGTGGGACATCGTTAATGGAGAACCGCTTCCACGACGGTGGCTGCTCCTACGGTGACTCTGCAACTTTGTCGCGCAAGCATCGTGGAAATAGCGGCGCACGTTCCCGCCGCGCCGCTACGTCCTCGTCATCATCGTCGTCGTCATCGTCGTCGTCGTCATCCGTCGTGCCGTGCATTGTACGTGCGCGCCTGTCACAGCGCTCCGCGCTCCGTAACGCGGTGCCACGATCGCGACCAACGTCGTCGTCGTCGTCGTCGTCGTCGTCGTCGTCGTCGTCGTCGTCGTCATCATCGTTGCCGTCGTCGTCGTCGAGAAGCCGCCACCGCCGCTGCCATCCGCGCGCAGAACGACGGCGCCCACTAGGATGTGGCGCATCGGTGAGTGAGTTTGTCACGCACGCACGCATCGCCCACCTCGCGTCCCGCCGCCGCCACCGCCTCCTCTCCGAGGAGGTTGACGGGTCAAGGTCGCCGGGCCAGCCAGCTAGCGAACGAGCGAGCGAGCGAGCGAGCGAGGCCGAGCCGAGCCGAGCTTCAGCGCGCAGGGCCCTCCATCTGTCAAACAGCTGTTTGCCTTCCGCACCGTTCGACTTCCTGCTGCGCGTCGTCCCTTTCGCTCCGATCGCCATCGATCTCGGTTACCGTTCGACCACCGCGTTCGTTGGTCGAAACAAAAAAAAAGAGAGCCCCCGAACGAAGTGAAGTTGGTTAACCGAGACGCTCTCCCCCGGAGCTCGGTTAGGCCACGTCGATAGGCCTTTTGTCGTGACGTGACGCTTGAAATCCATCCGACGTCGGAGCCGACCGTCGTTTTTTTTACCGTGATTGTCTCTCTTTTCATTCTTAAGCGAGATGCACTCATTCGCTCTTTTTCTCTCTGTCTCTCTTTCTTTTTTTTTCTCTAGTCGTGTGACGGGATTGCGGGTTTAAAAGGCGCTCCTCCAGCGAAACTAGATCTCGGATTAACTGAGATCATCGCCATCGTGATCGAACTCGTTTTTCTCTCTATGACATAACCAGGCTTACCATCCGGAGAGATATGTGTATGCGATAAAAAATTTTATAAAGAGCGAGTTTTCCCGAGCGAGGTTACCTAATCAAAATCACCGGTGCAATCGTACGATAAACCTTATCCGTGTTCGATCTCTTTAATCGGTCCCCGATGTGCGCGCAAACTTTTTTTTTATAATTTTCGTCGATGCATTTTTTCGTAGTGTTACATAAACCGATTTATCTGAGAACGTCTCGATCTTCTCGATGCTCAATGCAGAACGATAATCGTTAATTAAACAAGTTTGTTTTTGCGGAGCTGGACATTCTTTTTGTTTCTTGTTTGCGCATCGTCACCGGATTGGCCAACGTCGTCGACGTCATCCAGCTTCGATTTCCTGAAGTTTCCTCAATCGTTTTCGATCAGTTCCCGTTCGCGAACGCGAGTCAAAAGATCGCGGGACTTACGCCGCGGATATATCGCGGTCGGGAAATTCTGATTTTCGGAATCGAGCGGAGAGATCGATCTCGGGCACGATCTCACGTTTTCGGGCCAACGAGAGTCAGGTGTTTGCCCGACTCGCTAGGCAACACGACGACCCACCACTTTTCGTGTTGCAATAGCGCGCGGCTTTCAGGGATGGAGCGAAAAGACAGATCGATTGCATGCGGGAATGAATATGATTTCGAGAAAATTATTATACATCTATTTTCGTAAAATGTATATACGTCGACAATGCTTTGAGATAAGGAATAGAGCTTTTGACAGATGACCTCATTTTGCCCTGCGTCAATGATTCTTTCGAATTTAGTTTTTAATTAGTTTTCAAGGAAGAAATAGAGGATTTTGAAAAATATATCATTTTATGAATTATTCTGTGTATATATATATATGTATATATGTGTATATATGTGTGTATATATGTGTGTGTATATATACATTTTTTTTAATTATTTATATTATATATTATGTATATTTCAAATATACATATACAGGATAAGGATAAGCCAACGAAAAATTTTTACTTCATTTTTTTTTAATTGATTGATTTGTGCAAAATTAAGGGAAATATATAATTATGTATAAAATTAAACCGTGCTGCTCATTTCCTTGATTAGAATAGCTGCTCTTTTAAAAATCTTAAATGGCAATAGGATCCAATTAAGGGACCTTTAAAACATGTCACTTGATTTTTATTGCTACTTAAGATTTTTGAAGAGGTAACTACCCTTTCATCAAGGAGTTGAATTTATCAGAATTTTACCCCTTAAGAACAAGATTGACAAGTTTCGGTATACTTCGCGCAAATCAATCGATTACAAAACAATAAAGTGGAAATTTTTTTGTTTGACTTATGTATTATATGTATTTAAATAATTATATGTATTTAAATAATTATATGTATTTAAATGATTATATGTATTTAAATAATCATTTCCTCTCTTGTATTCTCGATTCTTATATCGATTGCGAGATACGTGCCTTTATTCATATTTCGCCGCATAATATGCAAGGTGTCCCGGAATTCGCACACAAAATATACAGTACGATTCTCTGTGGTAAAAGCAAATTTTTTGTCTGAAATTACCTTTGAATATTAGTTTTTAAATGAGAGCCATTTGAAGCTAATGAACGAGCGCTCCAAGTTACGCATGATGCAATATAGTGTCAGTGTTCTGAAAATAAAATAAAATAGAACAGATAATATATGAGTAATTTTGATCTATTTCAAAGATATTGTGCAACTTTGAAGAAAGCCAATTAAATGTTTTAAAGTGTATACTCGGAATGTAAACAACATTTTAAAATTATTTTCGCATTACCTAAACCATTTATTTTACTTTTACCCATTGCTTGATAATACCAGTTAGAAAATGTTCTCTTATTAAATTCTATTCGAAATAACGATTAGACATCGTGTGCATAGTTGTGAAATAGTTTCGAGAAATAGTAAGATACACGCGCGCCTCTTTCAGAGCCTAGAGTGCTCGTCCGTTAACTTCAAATTGTAGTAATTTAAGAACCATTGTTCAAACGTAATTTTACCATGGGAACAAGTTGTTCTTTGTGGCACAAAGAATCGAACTCCACGCGCGCGAATTCCGGTATACTCTGCATATAACGATATTCATTGCATATCTATTATAAGACGCGATTAAGAAAACGGTTTGCTCTGATTTTGCAGGGGGAGATGGAACGTATCACCTCAAAGTGTTGGTCCCCGGCGTGGCGGCCGGGGCCATTATCGGGAAAGGTGGAGATACAATTGCTCAACTTCAAAAGGATACAGGGGCAAGGGTGAAGATGTCTAAATCGCATGATTTTTATCCTGGTATGCGTCACATTTCGCAACGTTTTGCGCGTTTTCGCGACTGCGCTCATCCGTTAATTACCGTTTCGTTTGTCTATTACAGGAACTACCGAGAGAGTATGCCTCATCACAGGCACCGTAGACGCTATTATGGAGGTCATGGAGTTTATCATGGACAAAATACGCGAGAAGCCTGATCTTACTTCGAAGACTACGGTTGACTTCGACTCTGGTAAAGCCACTGCGGAGAGGGACAAGCAGGTATAAGATTGAAATATTTTTATCGTAAAATTCTTTTCATATATTCTATTAAGACATTTTGCGGGATATTCTTTTTAAAAGAATACGAATTTTTTATTAGTGAGTGACAATACTAAAAATTGCTCCTGATATAAAAATAGTATAATAATTACAGACTTTGGAATAGATTAATTTTTTCCAGGGATTATATATTTAGAATTTTCTAAATTCTAATAATGCGAATTTGCTATTACGTTATCAGTATATTTCTTTGTGAAAAGACAGTGATAGACTAATAATCACTCAAAAAAGTACGAAATACAAATTTTACACGCGCGAATGACACGAGTCTGCTATTTCAGGTCAAAATTTTAGTGCCTAATAGCACTGCGGGGATGATAATAGGAAAAGCTGGGAATTACATTAAACAAATTAAAGAAGAATCTGGCTCATACGTTCAGATCAGTCAGAAGGCTAAGGACTTGTCCCTTCAGGAGCGATGTATAACGGTGATTGGTGAGAAAGAAAATAATCATAGGGCGTTACACATGATCCTAGCGAAAGTGGCGGATGATCCGCAAAGCGGAACCTGTCTTAATGTCAGTTACGCGGATGTAAGTGGTCCCGTTGCCAACTACAATCCTACAGGCAGCCCGTACGCTCAAGCTCCCACAAGCACTCCCACGTATACATCTACAGCTGGTCTAAATACAGGTTAGTTAACGAGTCTTTTAATAATGCAGATAAGGCATTCCCCATGCGACGAATACATTTGTGTTGTTAGCGTAGCATTATCGATTATAAGATTATCGTCTAATAATATTCATAGATGTAAGCTTGTAAGTGCGCGCTTCTCCTTAATCTTTTTCAATTAAATTGAATGAAATGTAACGGAACGAAAAATTAAATGACTTTTTTCTAACTTGAAATTTCGTTCCTAAAAAGGCCGGTTTTCACACGCAATGATTAGTGGCGCCAACTGACTGGCATTCATTGGCGCCAGAACCGACTAGCAAACTTACAAGTATTTACACAGTGATTGGCGTATACTATGGAAAATATTTAACATTTATTAAACACACAGTAAATGACAACAACCATATAACCTCAAATTTTGAGGTTATATGCTTTGGCCAATAACCGCCAGTAAACGCCACATTACTAGCGCCAGTTTGCATCAAGTGTTTACACTTGCATTTTTACTGGCATTAGTCGACTGGCGCGGCCTGGCGCCACCAATCATTGCGTGTGAAAACCGGCCTATAGAGATTAAATAATCGCCAAATGAAATAAAATTGCGAAACTTGCAACTGTTTTCTAATTAAATAAATGAATCACACTATTTTTCATACTTACAAAGCGATACAAAAACTCGTGTATTGATATGTGTGATCATGGAAAAGAAATCTGGTCTTTCCAAGCTTTAATTATCCATCAAGCTTGAACGTACAACAAACATATTTGTCTACGCCGTTCGTGATTAATAAATATGGTGGTTGCCTATTTCTTTTATAGTGAGTCTCTTGAACGGTGCTGGTTTGAGTCTTAATCTGAATTTGGGCGCGGCTATCACCACCGGCACGGCACCGGTAACGACACAGCTGCTGGAACACATAAAACTGAATCTACGTACGACAGGTTTCTCCGAGCCCGCCGCCACGGAGATACTCGCCGCGATCGCGACCCTCGCCAAATACAATATCCTCGGAATGGGGATTGGGATGCCGTCGAGTATGAGCTACTTGGGCAATCCGATGGACAGTACGACAACCGCGAACGGCTCGAACAACAACGGCGGTGTGTTCGGACCGATCGGGACCGTGCCTACGCTCGGGTCCACCTCGCCGACGCCGCGTAACACCCTCGATCGGTACGAGCCGTTCGATCCGTTCCGACAGAACAACACCGCCGCCAGCGCGATACACCTGAACAACAATTCGTTCGGCCTGGGCACTAACCAGTTATCACTTGTAAGTAAGAGTCCTACACAGGTAGACGCCAACAACAAGGAGACCAAGAAAGTAGACATAGAAATTGCAGAGGTTATAGTGGGAGCTATTCTGGGACCCGGTGGTCGTGCCCTCATTGAGATTCAGCACCTAAGTGGCGCCAACATACAAATCTCTAAGAAGGGCATGTTCGCCCCTGGTACCAGGAACCGCATAGTGACTATCACGGGTTATCCCAATGCGATCAACACTGCTCAGTACTTGATCGAGCAGAGGATCAGTGAAGAGGAGGCGAAGCGAGCGCGTCAGAATGCCATCGCCAGTATGATCCATTGATTTCAAGTACAGCACTCCTCTTGTTCATCCCCATTATTGAGCTCCGTTGTTCACCTCTTCACACCCTGAGAAGGGAGAGCACGTCCGAACACGGCGGTTCTCTTCTCTCCTCTTATACTTTTGACATACATACATATATATACATATACATACATACATACATACATATATATATATGTATGTATGTATGTATGTATGCATATGTGTGTGTATGTATATGTATGTATGTATATATATGTGTGTATATATATATATATATATATATATATATATATATATATATATATATATATATATATTTCGCGTCCATCGCCAATTTACCGCCCGTTGTCATCTATCGCGCTGCGTTGTCACTATAGCGCTTGCATTGTCACATCATTTACGTTCATACATCCATCATGGCTCGTCATCATTTATCTATCTTTTAAGATTATTATGATATATATACATATATGAATATTATGTATGTTGTACGATATATAACTACTACGATTGTTCTGTGATACACCACATTACGGGGCTTTATCACACACGACACGCGCGTACCGCATCAGAGTTGCCACGAATAACTAGTTGTTATTGTCTTATAGGGTATTACCGTAATGAGGTAATCCACTATATAATTGTTATCGGATTCGAAATATACGATTACGGCATCTCTCTTAGCCACACAAATGTTCACGCCACACCGACCACTACACTACATCCGGGAATACGGCTTCTTCTCAACGGGCAGACTTTTGTCTGGATAATCGCATTCTCAAGTTTTTATTACGGGACACGTTCACCGTAATCGAGAAATCACCTCATACAGAACTCAACGTTAAAATGGCACTTAAAAAATCTGATTCAATCTGAGTCGATTGGTCAACTGAAATGTTGAGACAAGGGTTCCATGATCAACATTCTGCATTGTCTTTTGAGATAGGAAATACTTAGACTAATGGAATTTTTCTCGCTTTTGCAAAATACATTATTTACTTCGTTCACACCAAGTATAGAGTAATATCTTGGCAAAACCAAAGAGTTTATATATGCAGGATGTTTCACAAAGGAAAGGTTACAAGCTTTTAAGACTTGAAATTTTTGAGTCTTAGAAATTTTTTAAATCTTTCTCGAAATATCCCGTATAACACAGAAATACCTTGGCTGGAAGTTTAATATATATATCCAAAGTGAGAGCTATTCTATAATATATAAACATATATTTATATATTTACAATGTGCCGCTGGCTGGCCCAGCTAAATAAAAGAAAATAACGGATAACTCCTTATTGCCAAGTTATATTCTTAATTCCAAAGCGTTTAAGTCTTCATCTCAGAACAAACCTCATTTAAGTTTCGTAGCGCTTAGAAGAGATTAATATATATACAGAGTTATATATAGATTTTAACGTCAAATGTTGTTACTTTTTAACGTATATTTCTAAGGAATGGAAATCTATGCTAGCATTTGTTCACTAGGATAATCAATACTTTTTGCGCATCACATTAGATGACATTCTCAGATAATAATTATGTATAATTGTTCCATTATTTATGTAGAACTTTTAGTCTAATTATTTCCTCTTCTATTTAAGGCGATCGTCAGTTGACTGCGATTAAAATCTATATATATGTATATATACACATATATATTTTACTTTAGTCTCATTTAATCGGACTTGACATTGGAATTTATTATTACGTGCCTTTTAGGAGAAAGTAGTGTGTATGGGCGTTTGCTTTCTTGAAATGACGTAAACGTTCGTTTGTTTAAAATCCCTTTCGGAAGCCTTTTAATTTGTTCATGAGCGTTTCTTCGATCATTTCCCCTCGCTACGCGCGAGACTTTTTACCGATGCAATTTCGTATATTTTAAATGATTTACCCGAGATATCGATTATTTGATCGTAGACGCGTTGGCGAGAATCTTCTGTTGACCGTTTTAATTATCTTGAAAAATCTTTTATTAGTCACATCACGTATTTTTGGGTTCTGTATGGTAAAGGAAGCGTTTGTATGGAACGCTGGAAAATCTCTGTTTATGCGAAATGCGAGCCAAACGGGAAATTTTAATGAATCGTGAAGTTTTCGCATACAGAAACGAGCCGATAGGTCATTGAATGTGTTAGGATCGGTTAAAAAATTTTCAGATAAATCTATTGCGTCTTCGTCGTTTGATCGAAGGAAGAGATATCCGCTACGAGAGGTTTTTATAATCATTCTTTCTCTGTGGGAGTAGGTTACAAAAATATAGGAAGGGGTGATACGAGCTAGGTAGTAATCAATAATGGGTTTAGTTAAAAATGATTATTGAAATGTTAGCTATATAGAGCGTTAAATGAAATATATAACTGTTCATGAGTATATATATATATACATACAAGTACATATATATATGCATATATATACACATTTAATTCATAACTGGAGGCGTTGGCCCACCGTTCTTTAAACAATGACTTGTATATTTATAAATATTGCATATAACGGGGATAATTATGATAATATAAGATGCAGAGAGATATTGTATATTATATATATATATATATATATATATATATATATATATATATATATACACACATGTATATTATATAGAAGGAAAATATATTATAGATTATTACAAACAGAAGAAACGTTAAATAACGTGTATATGTATGTATATATAAATATTAACATAAATATAATATATATACAAAAATTTATATATAAATATATATATATATATATAATATATATGTGTGTGTGTGTATATATATATATATATATATATATATATACATATATATATGTGAGTGTATGTGTATATATATAAACGTGGAATGATATTATAAAAGATTGTTGACTAAATATTTGCGTCCGCAAAGAGGAGAAACAGATTTATGTTTATCCATAAATTCTATGTGAACTATTATCAATTAAACTTCACTGTGTTGCCCAAATACATTGAAAAGTCACCGAAATATGAAATAATTAACTAGGTTGCTGTAGATAGATTGATTCTAAAATTTTAAGAGAGTATAAATATAAATTGTAGCGTTAATTTAATTTATGGATTAGTGTGTTCTAATGGCCTTCGTGCTATTAACGCTAACGGCAGCATAATATATTTCATTACATATTGATTAATCATATAATAATACAACCATCGTCATGCATTCTCTGGTCATCATATTAGATTGGCTATCACTGATTCTCATCGCGTTAAAAAAATCTTCTATTATAGTTGGCTACGAATATTATCTGGCTGACTGCTGGTAGGGCGAACGATGCTGCTATATGTACATATACATAAATTTGTCGCGCGATACTAGAGTCGAACGCGTGAAAAAGAAAAGTGAGGCGTTTGTCATTCGAATTTGCCATTGGTCGTTCATCTCTCGCGGATGTTTATATAGGACACAGTTTTTACATTGCCACTGCTACAAATATGTACGTTATCTATTAGATTTAATATTATTTATTCGTCCTTCATATTCACGATCGTACGTTATTTATCGTCCTAATATTTATTCGCAGACAGATGCGTCGAATTTGTGAAGCTATCGTCTGAGAATCGGTACCTTTGTTTTATATATTTTCTCGTTGTTAAAGTTGTGAGAAATAGCTGTGTAGTCTCATCCGATTGTAACGCCAGTTGTGAATGAGATTGGACGACGAACCTTTTGACTTTTATCCGAGATTCGCTCGTCGACTGTATTCTCCTGGTCACTGGGGAAATGGTTGGTCGCACGAGCGATCACTTCTTTCAGATGATCTCGAGTCTTCAACCGTCTCCAATCTCGTTTACCGTCCGTTGCCGTATATTCGCAATAGTCATGCAGTAATCCTAGCGCTACTCGAACGATACAACTTACATAAACTTGCAAGAAACAATCGCCGTTAGGCGATATCTTCTCGTATCTTTGTTAGCGCGGAGTGTGAAGCACACTAATTTTGTGATATGCATCGCCTGTTGGTACAAATGACACAAGTTATGACGTACATGTTTGTAGAAACGCAATACCCCGAGAGCGAGAAAAAGTTAGGCGGAGAACGAGGAAGAGGTCTCTCTCTGGCGAACAACTTGTAGGTAGCACCCACGTTAAGCTATAGGATAGGGTTACGGGTTTTCTCTGATATTAAAACATTCCGTAGTAGAACAGATTACGTGTTATAAGACTAGCTGTGATGGAAAGCTGAAAAGAGAGTGTATATTATACCAGCTGCCAGTACATGAAAGATGAAACGAGCTACGTTTGATAAAATGTAAAATTGTAGGATTTATTTGCGCAGGTAAAGATAAGTGCTTGCGACGACACGAAAAAAGTTCGGCCGAGGCGAGGAGAGATCGAGGAAGGAAACAGCAGTGCGCACAATTAAATTTAACATGCCCGGTTAAGCATGTTACAGAGAAATCTTGCGCGCGCAATGTGATGCGTCCGCATTGTTTTTCACGATGGGGGATGATGACAGGATATCAGGACGGAGCCGATTCCCTTTTTACGTAAAATGCGTACAATTCGTGGATAACACGAATCTCCTTGCGAATATATTCCGGGTAAGAATCAAATACACAGGTGGAAGGAGCACAGATCAGTATAGAGGCCATAAGCGCGATCAGCCAGTCTAACATAAGTATTCTTCTTAGTGTAACGTTGGTTTAAAGTGTACCGCCTGTTACATTTTAGTAACCACATCGATACTATTGTGCGTAAAAGTTTGCAGAGTTACGTCGAGGTCGTTGTTTCGATAACGGCTCAAGTGTTTCCTCGCGATGTGCAATCTTACAAGATTAAAAATCTGGTATAGAAATCTGGCGAGAAACATCTCAGGAGTCCAACTGATTGGATTTGGTATTCTCAAAACGCAGATAAACAAAGCGCTTGGTACAGATATATTTTTAAAGATCCGAGAGATTAACAGTGAGGGAAAAATTTCAATATGCATTTTCGAGGCACGGCTGTTTTTATACCCACTTTTGAGGATTGTCACGCTCCGTAATATCCCGCAGACGAACGAAATACAAGTTGCAGTACCGTTATCGAAGTGACACTTTCGACAGAATTTTCCAATATTGCTTAACGGCGTAAGTCTATATGTGTTAGTGCATTAGCATGTGTATATATGTGTATTTACGACATGTTACGCAGTACCGAAGTGTTTAACGATAAACGTCAATAAGCGCACGGTTCTGCGTGTAAACT